TCAGTCTCCGTAAGCCTCAGGTTGTAGCAAAGAGCAGGTGGCTGCAGGTTGGCTAGGAAACTGGGGAGAAGGCAGAGAGCACCTGGCCTGGGCCTTACCCACACACAGGCATGGACCAGTGACCTCCACCAGCACTTCCACTGGAAATTCCTGCGATGTTGGAAAAGGCGTATGTCTCCACGGTCCAATTCAGTAGCCACCGGTAGAGCAGAGAGGCCCAGCAAGTCCAGGGCACCCGACTTCTGCCCACCCCCATGAGGCTCATCTCCTTGTCCTTCCTGTGGCAGTGATTACACTTAGAGACAGGGACACAGGGGAGATGACCACTCATGGCGTCCACTGAGCTCTCATTGGCCCAGATATTGCACAGAAAGGACCTCATGCCTACTATTGTCAAGCTCTTGAGCAGATCCGGGCATCTCTCCATTTCAAGATTATTTCTTCAATACCACACACCCAGGTGACCATGATAAATGATAAAGTTCTGCCCTGAAGAAGTTTACTCTTTAAATTCTACAGAGGGAGGGAGCTAGATTGAGGGCGAGAAGAAAAGCTCACCTTGTCATTCTTTGGAGAGAAATTCTGGCCAAACCCATCTTGTCTGCTGGCTAGAAAAAGAGACTTTCCTTTCCTTGGGCCCAGGTGGCCCAGTATAGCCCCACAATCTACCGGAGCTGCAAATTCTGAGTACCCCTAGTTCCTTCCACTTCTCTAAGCAAAGTCGCAATATCTGGGCCATCCAGTTTTCTCTTGTGTTTGATTATGAGGTCACAACAGAGCAGGAAGCTATTGTCAGTTGAGGGTCCAGCTGTTATTGGTACTGGGGGGCACTGAGAACCCCCTGGGGTAGGAGGTCTACAGCAGGATGGAGCAAGAAGAGCAGGGGGAGAGTAGGAGGATGTGGGTGGGTGTGTATATTGTGTTTTTGTACTGTGAGCAGCACTGCCCACCCTTGGGTGCTCCAGGTCCCGGATGTGCCTCAGTGGATGCTCCTGTACCAGTGTGACTGGGAATCCTCAGGAATGAAGGCAGAAGGGAGAGACGACAAGGCAGCAGGTGGGAGAGAGGTGGCTGGCAGGACTGAGGAGGAGAAGCCAGTACCCACCCCAACATACATACCAGGAAGATCCAAGGGTTCTTCTAAGTCTGGGAGTGAGAGCGCCCTGCCTTCTAGGCTTCCAGCAGTTGGGAGGGCCCTGAACATTCCACTTTCCCCTTCTCTGCTAAATCCTTTCCAAATGAAGCGAGGTCCCACATAAGCTTCTCTTCTTTCCCTGATTATTTTCTTTCCTTGATTCCACTTTTGGATGGAAGAAACAGCCAGGGTTATGCAGAGATAATCCATGCCTGTCCTCACCCCCCAACTCCCACACCTGCCTTCTTCCTCTGCCACCCCACCTGGCTTATTCCCAGTCCTCTTGGGCACAATTTACCTGACCCTTTAAATGCAGGCTTCAGGCACACAGAGAAAAGGAGAGGATGTGGGTGGTTGTCAGAGAAGTAGGAGAGGATGGAAGCAAACAAATTCCAGATTTTTCAATTGCTCAGAGTCCCTAGAAATTAGCAGCAGGACATGTCCTGTGGCTGTCAATCTCCTCCGCCATCTACTGGCCATGGGAGGTATTGACCTGTTGGGTGACCAGCTTCCAGACCCCACCCAACTGAGAGTCCCTTCTCTCCAGCTCAGGGGGAGCGCTGCTTCAAGCTGCTTCTCGGGCAGTCCCTCTCTGTATCCCACCTAAATCCCTCTGCAGTCTTGGTCCATTTTCTCTTAAAGAAATAGCCCAGGAGTTGCCAGTCTACTTGTTGTTTCTGGTTTTATTTAAAATGCAAACCCTTCCAAAATTGAAAGCCTATTTATGACTCGGCCACAAAGTAGCTGAGTGGGGCTAACTGGCTCCAGTGTCCCAGCCCTGGCTCACTTTCCAGTCCTTTAATCTCTGTGGCTCTGGACTGGCTCCACTCCAAGTTTCCGCTGTCTCCCTGAAGCCTACAGGTGACCACAAGGCCTTGATTAGTATCTCTGATACTCGACTCCCCGCTGCCTAAGTAATAGGTCCCATGGGGTTAATTGGCACCAAAATCCTGAGGCACATTAAAACCCGAATCCTGCACCTCAGAAGGGACCCAACTGGGGAGGGTGGGTCCTCAGGACGACCCCTGCCCCATCCCCTAGAGTGCAGCCCAGAAAGGAGACAGGGTTTGCAAAAGTGTTTTGCATTCCTTAAGGATGATGGAGGAACCCAGTTTGTTCCCTAACATCTTCATTGCCTCGCCCAAGGCAACACTTGCACACCAGCAAAGAGAAGACTAAGAGGTTGAAGTAAATGTGTCCCAGAGTTTCCCCAACCATTGTTAAGAGCTTCATCCTCCTTCCAGGACGGGTGACTCAAAGTTAAGGTGCCCACAGCATTTCTTAGAAAAGGTCCTTAAAGGGGGAGGACCTTGAGATGCATTATTGATATATGGGAGGCTGGACATGGCTGTTACCAAAGAGAGATGCCAAAATGACATCTGGGGGACAGCACATTTCACCAGAGGTAACCCCCAAAAACAGGTGGCCAGAAGAGGGTCAATGGGACCCCCCATCTTCTTAAGTTTTCTTTAAGAAGTAGAAAGAATACCGCTGCCAAAGGCATGGGGACTTGTTTCTCTTGGACACAGAGGGATGGACTAGGTGGTCTATTGGGAGAATTCCAGGAGCTGGTCCAGCTGCTGGAGATGGGCCACTTCCTGAGCTCTTTTCCCTGGATGAGGCAATTCTGGAAGCCCAGAAGGGACCCACCTGTCCCCTGAGGACAATTTTCTGGCCTTCCAGACCAGGCTGGATCTGTGTTCTGTCCTCCACGCCTTGGCCAGCACCAAACCCTCTTGTCCTCATCCCCCTTTTATCTGGTAACAATCTTCATGGAGAAGGGCTTTGCCTGTGTACCCCTAGAAAGCCCCCAGCCTTTCTGGGGCAACCCTTTTCCCAGTGATCAAGTGCTCTTTGAGGATTCGAATGCTTGTTGAGGCCCAGAGAGATTGAGTGTAGAATCTCAAGTCACTCAGTAAGATGGGCCCGGCGAGCCTTCCACACCCACCATGGTGAGCTTCTCCCTCCTCACCCTCCTCACCAAGACCTGCTCCTCAGTCTCTGCCTGTGTTCTCAGATGACAGAGTCCCCCAAACCAGCTATGCTCCTCCCTGCATCACGCCCCATCTTAGCACCCCCTTACCAAGAAAAGCTGGTGGACCCAAAACACTCCTAGCTACATCCCACCTCCAGGCACATCACCTGCTGATCAATCATCACAGCAACTTCTGATTAAAAAAACAGGGCGTAAGCCAACAAGAACTGGGGAAAAGGGTGAAAGGCCAAAAGTGGGAGGTAGGGGTTCTTGTCTTGAATTTTGTTCAGAGAGAATCTCCCCACTGTTTTGCTATTTGCTCTCTCCAGTCATTGTCCTCTCTTGTAACTACTTCCTTTCCTCTCCTGTAGATAAATACCCAAATCAAATAACCCTCCCACAATCCCCCCTCACCCCAGCACTGGAGTCTTCTTCAGGGCTGGGAACTTCACTGCTAAGGCCTTAAAGAGAGGATGCCAATACAATGAAACTTGACAAATCCTGAGCCAAGAGACAAACAGGTGCTAGAGTGCATTCTGCCACCTGCCACCTGACCTGGTAGACCAGGTCTCCCAGTGCCTCCCTTAAATGCCCTGAAACTTTTGCGGAGCTGGCAGCTCTGAGGTCGGGTTCAAGTCCTGCCCCAACACCCAACCGTGTCTTCCCATTAAGCTTCTCTCTCAGTGTGCCTCATTCCCACCTCCTTGTTTTCTACCCTTCATATTCCATATACCCCTTACCAACGCAGGTCCTGGATAACCCAGCGGCGTTGAGAGAAAACAGGATTTTTGTTTACCCTGCTTGAGTTATTGTGGCCACCCTAAAACACTAGTTCCTGAGGGTAGAATTTGAAAAGCAAAGGGAGCAATAAAGACAGGGTCTTCCCACTCCACCCCTGCCCCTCTGCTCACAGTGGGCATCCTGGCCAGTGGGGAAGAGCCATGTGAGACCTCCCCACTCTGAGTCTGCCAAGGGTGGTGGAGTCAAGGAGCTGACCATGGGACATCTAGGGGTGGGTGCTGTGAGATAAGAATTGGGTACAAGACAAGGTCAGGCAGGGAGAATTAACAGACTAACAAATAAGCGAACAAAGTCCTACTTCTTTAAAGGTCCTGAGAGTCAGCTAAGTATAGACTGTCACCAAGTCACCCCTATATATAACTGCTCCAGCCCCAGCTGTCAGCCTCTCTGGGCCCAGAACTGAGTTATGTTTCAGCCTGTCAGGGCATGGGGCACAGAGATAGGTCTGAGCCAGGGCTGGGAGCCAGGCCTTCCCACCCGCACTGGCACTGTTCCCCCAAGGCTCCATACTTCTGGCTCTCTCAGAACCCCTCCACCTGCTAGTCCAACCCCCCAGAATTCCTGCTCCCACTCCCCAAGTCCAAATATTAATATCTCTCTGTTCCCAGCAGTTCTGAAAGCACCAAGATGTCCCAGAAGATAGACATCACCTTTCCTGTCCATGCCCTGGCTGTCCCCCATTTTGCTCCCCCAGCCCAGATCTCCAGGCTGTCTTCTTATCCCAGCCCCCTCCAGCCACCACCCCGTCGCCTCATTCAGTCTCCCAGCAAGCAACAGCCCTCCCAAAGATGCTCCCCTCCCGCTTCCTCCTTCCAGCCCCCAAAATATTCCTTTCTCTCTTATGTCCCCTTGGCTTTTCCAAGAGTCTTCCACTCCCTGAGGTCTTGCGGGCTGACTCTCCACTCAGTGCCAGCAGCTCCCCCTCCACCGACACAGGTGTGGATTGCTTCCCTGGTTCTGGTCTCCCTGCTTTCCCCGGTCAGTACCCCAAACCTCCTCACCCCAAACTCCAAGTCTAGGCGCTGGTGCCTCCACACCATCTTGCTCGACCCGCAGAGGCTGACCCTCTCTCCCCACTTCCACCTGCAGAGAGAGACTCCCGCGAGCATGAGGAGCCTACCACCTCCGAGATGACCGAGGAGACCTACTCCCCCAAGATCTTCCGGCCCAAGCACACCCGCATCTCCGAGCTGAAGGCCGAAGCAGTGAAGAAGGACCGCAGAAAGAAGCTGACCCAGTCCAAGTTTGTGGGGGGCGCTGAGAACACTGCCCACCCCCGCGTCATCTCTGCACCTGAGATGAGACAGGAATCTGAGCAGGTGAGCCTCCAGGGCTCCTCCCCACCCCACTCTGCTATAGCTCCCTGCAGCCTCTGCCACCCTGTTCTTCCCACCATGCCCTGCGACGGATGATGGGACTCCTGGCAGCAGGGCGACTTGGGCTGGACCTATCCAAGGACCTACCGCTTACCAAGGCAGCTGAGCTTTGGATTCAGGAGGATGTTCAGAGCTTCCATTTATTCTGGGCGATCATAGATGTAGTGTCTTTCAAGAGCAATGCCAGCAGGCCTCAGAGGCCACACAGCAGGCCGTGAATGCATGCCCTGGGGCTGCGTCTCCACAGCAACAGCTGAACCTTCTCATAGAGCACCCAGAGGCTCTCCAGTCTTCATTACCCAGCAGAATGGAGAAGCTGAGGGTGGGCGGCCTGGTGGACAAGTGAGACATTGGCCCACTCTGGCCTGGTCAAAGGCAGGTTTTATACACCCAGAGTACATGACAGGCAGAGGAGAAGGGAAAGATCTGTGGTAGCAACTCATTCAGACCAAAAGCAGTCACTGTCCCCCTAGACCACTCAGCTCCCACACCCCAGGGTGGCTGGTCTGCACATGCAGGTGGCTTATGCCAGCCTCTCACCCTCTGTCCCTCCGCACACAGGGTCCCTGCCGCAGACACATGGAGGCCTCCCTGCAGGAGCTCAAGGCCAGCCCCCGCATGGTGCCCCGCGCCGTGTACCTGCCCAACTGTGACCGCAAAGGATTCTACAAGAGAAAGCAGGTATGCCCCCAGCCCGTGAGCCCCAGTGCAGAGGGCCCCAGGGAACCTCAACCTCTAGCCTGGTAACCTGAGTTACCAGGGAACCTCAACCTCTAGCCTTAACAGCAGTGTTTCCGGGTCCTCCAGCCTCCCCCACATACCACGACCTTCCATGCTGATTGCTTGGAGCCTCCCAGACTGTCATCTACTTTTAATGGTCCACCTTAAGTGCATGAATTCACCTTAAGGGGAATGTGCTCCTTGTCTGTGCTTGTTAACATCTCTGCTGGTGCAAACACACCCACTCATGTATATACATATATGTGACTTCACAACAGATTTTCTGCATGTGCCACAACAGATTTTCTGCATGGACCAGGTCATGTCTGGTCCAGGTCAGGCTACACTTTGGGCAGCCCTATTGTGGATTAGGCTGGAATACTTATTAAAGGGGTACGTGTGACCTCAAGGCAGTGGCCCTCAGACTGTCCAGGGCATCAGAACAGGCCCAGAGGACTTGCTGAAAACACTGATTGTGGCCAGTTGCACCCTAAGAGCTTCTGACTGGCAGTTCTGGAAGTGATTCAGAGTTTTGCATTTCTAAAGTTCCCCGGTTGCCCTGCTGCTCCATAGTGGCATCCCTCATGTAGATTAGGGGTTAAGTAGGAGACAGGTAGCCTGAAGTCAGTTCTTGACTCTGCCACTTACCAGCAGGGACTCCTTTACCCTGCTTGTTTCATGTCTCTGCTTCCTGAAGGGGAAAGGAATCAGCCCATTCTCCCCCATCATGAGGAATAACAGGTTAATCTTTGTAAAGCACAGTGACCAGGACCTGCCACACTGGCACACCTCGTAGATAATTGCGGGTTCAGTTCCAGACCACTGCAAGAGAGCAAATATTGAAATAAAGTGTGTCTCAGGAATTTTTTGGTTTCCCAGTGCATACAAAAGTCCTGTTTACACTACACTGTAGTCTATTTGGTGTTCAATAGCATTCTGTCAATGCTATTATATCCCTTAATTAAAAAGTACTTCATTGCTAAAACACACACACACACACACACACACACACACACACACACACTAATCATCATCTGAGCCTTCAGCACATCCTAATCTTTTTCCTGGTGGAAGGTCTCATGATAAACACAATATCTGCAAAGCACAATAAGACCAGGATGGGATGGCTGTTTGGTTTAGTGGTATCTGGTACATGATGAAGCTATACAAGCAGTGCCTCCTACCACTATTATTATCATTATCATCATCACCATCATCATCAGATCATGTAGCTCTCTGGCAAATCGCTGGAGAATACCACCTTGAATGGCATGGGAGATATAAAAAACCTGTAGGAGCTAGCCAAAGGCAGACCGGCAAAGAGGGCACCAGAACCCCGAGGATTGGTTACAGCTCCCCCAGCTCTCTGGGGCTGGGAGTCTCTCTTAGAGGGTGGGGAAACAGATAGGAGCAGAGTTTCGGGGTCCCATCGCCCTCACTGCCTATCGCTCTCCCCACCCCAGTGCAAGCCTTCCCGTGGCCGCAAACGTGGCATCTGCTGGTGCGTAGACAAGTACGGCATGAAGCTGCCAGGCATGGAGCACGTCGGGGACTTCCAGTGCCACACTTTTGACAGCAGCAATGTGGAGTGATGCGTCCCCTCCCCGCCCCACCTCCCCTTGCGCCCCTCCCGCCCCTAGCCCCGGCTCCAGCCAGCGCCTCCCTCCACCCCAGGACGCCACTCATTTCATCTCATTGAAGGGAAAAAATACATATATATATCTTTTTGAGGAAACTGAGGACCTCGGAATCTCTAGCAAGGTCTCAACTTTGAAAACGGCAACAACAGAGATGCAAAAAGTTAAGGAGAACCCCCTTTAAAATGGTTTTCTTTTGAGACAAGTCAGGTGCACATGGAAGGGAAGAGAGGAAGAAGAAAAGCAAAGGGCAGATGATGCTGATGTCAGAGAGAGGGAAAGGAGAGAGAGTTCAGAAAAGGACAAGAAGGGCGTGGGCAGGGAGGAAAGATCCCAGGACCGGGGCTGGATCCAGGTGTGCACCTGGCCGCAAGCTGAGTCCCTAGGGCGTTTGGGCCCTAGGAGATGTGGCCCAGGTATGGCTTTGCATGGCATACTTGCAGTTTCCCCAGTGTGAGTTGGTCACATGGGAGAAAGGAAAAGACCCAGGTGTCTGTGCCCAGCCTGGCTCTCTCTCCTCCAGGCAGCAATTCAGAAGGCTTGGAGCCTGTTCTTTCTCTCCCCTGATCCAGCGGAGTGTTCTCTCTCCCCCAAATTTGTGAAAACTGAAATGCATTCCATTCCTCCCAAAGCAAAACAAATTAATAACTGAGTGATATTAGATAGACAAGTTTTCCTGTGCACAGTTCACTCCCAGGCAGACTTTTAGAAATCAACACACAACCAATAGCCAATAACTGAAAGACTTGTCCTCCCAGGGTGACTAAAATTACCTGCTGAAGCCAGTGGTTTCAACCCCTATTGTATTCAATTTGCAGACAGTACAGCCTCTGAGGGAGAGGCTGGCTGGAAAAAAAAAAATTGTGGGCCTGTATTTATCTACCAGGCTCCCTATCGCCATATATAGGCATGTAAATCTCTCTTCTTTTTCTTTCTTCCTTCCTTTCTTTTAAAGGTTTGCATTTACTTTCCAAAGTACTTTCTATAGAGGCATTGAAGAGCTTCCTCATTCTGGGAAAACCAAGAAAAATCATATTCTTTTGATGGGACATAGTGTGGAGCAATTCCCTCTGTGCCTGTGTGTGTAACGACCGCCAGGCCAGGTAGATGAGAACTCCCAGGTGCGCCCACCTTGCTCCCAGTAATCACCCTTTTAGCCTTCAGACCCTCCAGAGGTCCAAGTTTGACCTATGGGGCCTGGCCAGACTTTTCATGTCTTCTGGGCACCATCTGCCTTTTGAAAGCCTCCCAGGCTTCAGACTGGAGAGCAGGAGACTGAGCGAGAGATGGTATGGAGGGAGATAGAGGTGGGAAGGTTTATATACAGGGAAAGAGCCAAGTGGTTGCTCAGGCCAGAATAGATGGAGGGATGGAATGAAGGCACACAGGGCTTGGGGAATGGGCTGGGGGGCTGATCGCCCCTTTCAGGGGCAACAAAAAAGGGGACAAAGCCAAGAGAAATTTCCTTGGGTCCTCACTTTGTAAGCTCTCTGGGATTTGGGAGAAAAGAGAGAAGTAAGAGGGGGAAGGTAGGTTTAAAGAGAGCAATGAGCCTCCTCCAGGCCATAGAGTCCCAGAAGTGAGTTCTAGACATTAGCAGCTGAGAAGGAATGCGGTCCAGTAGAGGACGGCCATGCTTTTGAAGAGACAAGACAATGTGCCCATAGGCCCACCTTCAGCCTGTACGAGGGACAGAGGCCAAAGAGTCTTTCAAGCTCTTCATCCACTCTGGCTGGTTCACGCTTCCTCCCTGGGGTGGAGGATGGAAGAAAGGTATAGGGAATGGATACTTTGGGGGTGCTGTCATTGGCAGCCAGATTCTGAACTAAGAAAAATCCCATTCTCCACTGGCTTTCTCAACAACGGGAGGCCTTAAAGCTGTCCTCCACGGCTGGAGATAGCCTGCAGGGGAAGGGGGCTTGGACACTGGCAGAGGAGGCCCTTCCTTGCTGTGAACAGTCTCTCCACTCTTTCCTGATGGCTTGACACCATGAGACAACCTCCAACACCAAGCTTGGGGCAGCGAAGAGGAAAACAAATTAGCACGTATATTTCGACCCATGGATACATGGAGCAGTGCACCCCGGGGACTGCCTCCTACTGTCCAAGATGGACAGTGACGGGCAGTGAGAGAAGTGGTCAGTCTTCACGGGACAGGGCCCAATGGGGCTGGCAGCCATGAGGACTCACCTGACCTGCCGAGTCATCACCCCCATCTCGGCACAACTCTCCCAGCCCCCAGCTCGCATCTCGGTGTCCTAGGCCAGTACCCTCTCCCTTTCCCACATCACTCTGCTCTCTGCCCATTCCTTCTTGGATCTTGAGAGCTTATCCAACTGAGATCTGCCAAGTGGATACTGGGGTACCATTCCCCCTAAGAAAAGACTGAGCCAGGAATTGCGTGCCCTACCCCCACCCCTCCCAAGGCCTGGACTTGGTTCCTGAGGGGCTTCCCCCACCCCCATCCCTACTGTTTACTGGACTTTACTTGGCTCTTTGCTGCCAGCCATAAGGTGGGGAATTGTGTTCTAGTTGTCCCTGCCAGCGTCATCGGCTTTCCAAAGTTTCCATGTCAACTCACCCACACCTGCCAGCGCCTGCAGGAAGTGATTCTGGTGCCACACCCCAGAGGAAGCTGGACCTTCATGACAGATGGAACTAAACCTCCCAAAGGGGAGGTCTGGCCTGAGCCCAGATTGGGGTGGGGGGTCACAAGGAGGGAGCCACTGAGGCAGATGGAGCCCCTCCCTTGGAGGGTGGGAGCAAAGGCAGGTGTGGAGGGTCAGGGGCTGTGAGGCCCTGAACACCAGCCTCCTTCACTCCCGACTGCCTGTTGCCACTATCTGCCCACCTTGGCCATGGACTCCGGTTTTGGACCTCACTTCTCATGCAGCCCCTCCCCCCAGCAGGAGGTCTCTGCCCATCTCCCCTTTGACTCATGCCTCACTCAGGCAGTGGAGAATTTACCTGTCGTCCCGCCACCCCTGCCCGGTGACTGAGGGAGACCTAACCAGGAAAGATGCTCCTTTCCCCCAGGGAAGCACTACCCACCCAGGCCAACAGGGCATCTGGGAAGAGACTCGAAAGTTTCTGACAGCCAGGCCTGGACAGACAGGCTTGGAGACATTCAACTCCACACTGGGGAGGACGGGCAGTCCTGCGTGGTCCCGCACCTCCTCTCTCGGCCTCCCCCACCTCCCATTGCCTGGGCTGTGTCTCCACTGGCACCCTGCATGGGGTTAACCTCCTCCCTCCTCCTGGCTGGTTAGCAGGGACAGGGCTGCCACGGCAACCGCCAGGCCCCCTTCCCATCCATCCACTCAGCCCCCCGGAGAATGGGGACTTGGGAGAGGCATGGGCCCAGAAGCCACTCTGGCCAGGAGAGCAGCGCTTCGACTTCCAAGAGGAAGGGAGGCTAAGACTTGAGAAGCAGCGGCTCAGCCAGCAGGTCTGCCAGCCGGCCACCTAGGCCTTGTACTGTCTTTATTTTAAAACCACTAAGGTGCAAGACTTCTTTTGCACTTTTCTCCACTTTTTTTTTTTTCCTCGTAGTTTTTTGTTTCCTTTTTTAAACATGCTTTCTTGGTTTTCGAATGGAGTATATAGTTTAGCCATTTCCACAGATTCTGGCCTCCTCTTTTTAATTCCTTTTGGATGGGAAAGGGAAGGTAGGGAGGGTCAGACGAGGGGGCTCTCAGCCACCCCGCACCCTTCACCCCAGTCCCTGGTCCCGGCAGCCAGCCTGAGCCCCACATCTTCCACCGCCACAGTCACACAGTAACCCACACGGATAGACGGTTGTCAGTCAAGATCCTTCAGATTCCGAGTTGCCTACCGGTTTGTTTAAGATAGCAGTAACCACAGCACATATTAACTGTAGTCCTTTATAGCACGGCATACATACCTACCATAGCTCTATCCTCTCTTCCTTTTTTGTTTTCAACTTTTTTAAAAAAAAAAAAATAAGTGCTCATAATCTTTACTGGTGAAAAGGATGAAAAAAAAAAACCAACAAACAAAACTAGTTTGTGAAAAAAAGTTGGAAAAAAAAATCACCTGAATGCGGAAGAGCTCGGTCTCCTGTTGAGCATTTTGTACCTAAGGAAATAAAAACAGAAAACAAAAACAGAGATCTCACGTTTTATTAAAAAAGTGAAGATTGCTGTATACTATTTATTCAAGTTATAATTTATGTTACTCCTTGATCTTTGTCTTTTGTCATGACAAAGCATTTATTTAATAAAGTTATGCATTCAGTTAGCCTGCGTCAGCTTCCTCCAGGGGCCCAGGGAAGACAAATGCAGGGTGAGATGAGCCCACCATACTCAGCACAGAGAGAGGGGCAGGAGAAAGGACCAAGTGGAGGCAGGGCGAGGGCCTGCCCATCCCCCCAGCAGGGGGCCCCCTAGACATGCCCTTCCATCCAGTTTGGGTGCCCCTTCTCTGTCCCTTCAACACTGTTTCAATGAATTCACATTCACCATTCTTAGAAGGGCAAATAATCTTCACGTGTTCTGCCACTGTTATTATTATTATCATTTCAACTCAGCCCCTGCTATTAAATAAAGTGGCATTAATCCACTCTTAAACAAATGGTGGGTCTCTTCTACTTGGACAGAATTTCAAGGAAGCCATTTCTAGAATGTTCCTCCATCACTTACTCCAGTGCTTCGTAAGCTCTTGACTCCTAGACACCTCTGGCCAAGGTGAAGCCCATCTCCTGCTCCCACCCAGTACCTGCCCACCCCCTCACTGGAGGTCCAGCCCAGTGAAGCAGATGTTCTGCAATGGCTCTTGTCCTGCAGTGGCTTCGAGAGCAGAGCTCCCACTGTGCCCCCTCTCTGCCTCAGTTACCCCATTGCCTTTCCTTTCCCCTAGGTCCCTTCTCCCCTCACATTCTTCTCCCAATCTACATGTCACCTCTTCATTTTCGGAGCCTAGAGCAGCACATCACCCTTGATACACCCACAACCATCTCTGTCCAGTGACACCCTCCACCTAAACCACCCCCCCACCTGATCTTATAAAGGCTTCCCAGGGCATCGGCTTCCTGGGGAGACGGAACCCAGACATCTCCACTCTGTCCAGCTCCAGGTGG